AAAGTTTTAAAAAAATAGTCCATATAAATTTGTATTAGGTCAGTAAACCACCATATAGTACCACAATCCAATGAAATTAGTACAATAAAGATGGTAAGACACTCAGTGTAACTCATACTGTGATGTTAGATCAAAGGAAGGAAAGGGAAAGGTTAAAAGAAGTGGCAGAATGAATGCATGAGAAGCGCAGAGGTACAGGTTTTAAAAGATATCAGTGTAACAAGGACATAGATCCATCTGACTCGCTCTGAGGCCTGGGCCAAGACAATTTCAGGAAAAGAAATCATTCCTAGGGAAAAAAGAATGTCTCCAAAAGCAGACTGGTCTCAACTGAGTCTAACAGATCAGTTCTGTAGCACAGGGGGTAAAAATTCCTCAGAGTTAAAAGGAGGAAGCCAAAATATTTTTTTAAAATTATTATTTGTCTGAGTAAGAAGACATGCAAAAAATTTCCTACTGGACACAATGTAGAAAATGGTCAAAGTACACTTGGATCCATCAGTAGTTGGTTCTCATGACTGAACGAAGCAACCAAAAAGACACAGGACAAACACTTGGAGAAGCTAGGGAGGGAAAATACAGAGCTAAGAGGTCCTTAGTGACTAAAAGCCAATTTCTCTATATGGAAAATTAATCCCATGCCATAGATTAAGTAGTAAAACTCAGAATTTAACTACCTCCGTTTCTCTGTCTGTAAGATTGGGGAAAACCTTTCTTCTCTCATGAAATGTATCTGTCAAAATTTTCTAAGGATGTTGACAAGAGGAAGGCAGCTGCTAGCTATCACATTGTCTGGTGATATTACACTCAATTCAGTTTAAATTTGGGTTTTGCTAATGAAAATGGCTTTCCCCACTCATTCTACCTAGATGTCCATTCCTGCATCCTTTCTTGCACCATGCTGTCCACACTGTGACAGAAAACTAAACACTTTTTTGTTAAGACAGTCTTAAACCAGACCAGTAAGCAGGCCTGACCTATCTTGCAGATGCAGACACCAGACAGCCAGCAGGAAATGTGTGTTCCACAGAGGCTGACAATAATTAGACTAGATTAAATGTAACAGGTAACAGCACTCTGAGAAGTTGCAGCAATAAGACAAGTCAAACTTTATGCCCAAGAAAATAAGTCGTGTCTTCTCTGATAAAAGGTAACATTCCTTTATAGAGTTTATACGCATACAAGTGCTCGGCAAATAAATGCTTCCCACCTATGGGGAAATTTATTTGTACAATTCCTATTTAAAGTTACGGGAGGTCTATGGAACTGCAGCTGCCTTTTTATCACCTCCAGGTTAGTTTAGGATTGATCAGGAAGGAGTGGAATTTATTACTGCCATAGGAAAATGAAACAAAATTTTTAAAAAAGATACAACTCAAAGAAGAACAATGACTATGGTATGACACAATATAAATATTAAAGTATTTCAGGTAATATTTAACTAGAAGGACAACAAACACGTGCACAAACATCTGGATGCATATTTATACACTCTGTTCAGAACAGCTCTCACTGCTCCAAATTCAAACTCAAACAGACTGAACACAAACTCTGTGAGACAAAGCCTTGGGTATGGGGAAAACAGAAAGACAACACTGGACATGTGCAGGCCACCGCAACACTCTAAAAAGGCACTTCATACAAGTAATCCTGAAAGAGTTTCATGAATACAAGGGCAGGTTTTCATTCACACTTGTTTAAACGAAGAGTGGAGATGAAGAGAAGTTGCATTTTCTTTCCCTGCACTACTCCAAACACTTGATTTCTATTTTGCTGCAACTCAAAACTGCAACAGGCTACTGTAATTACAAATTACCTTACAGTAAAATCTCAGAGTCTCCAGTGCATCAGATAGTGATCACTTCTAGTGAGCTAACGCCAACTTGTGTTTCTAATCTAAGAGGCTGAAGAAGCCCTATCACTTTCTGAAAAAATAAAATTGGAAATGTATTTGTAAATGGGATATCCAATAACGGATCTAGTCACTTGTACAAGCAGTAATGAAGAGAGAGGGACAGAGCATGCAGAGGGAATCACCTGCTGCCTGGGATACGGTGGAGAGGGAGGTGGAGTGGAAGAAGAGAGCATGATCACTTTTTTGGGGCAGGTCCGAGAACGTTCCTTACTTCTCATCTTTTTTTAAAACAGAAAAAGCAAAAAAAATAATAACAGTAGAAAAGAGATAACATTACCATTGGCTTTGGGGAGACAGGCCAGAACACATGAACTGAGAAACTGTGATCCCAAGCTCACACCTCTCACAAATGACCCACAAAAAGCCACATTTTGTCTGAAGCTGAAAGACCAAAGTTTTTCACCCATAGCCACATGATCACATGTCCATTTGACAGATACTTCTAGGGGCAGCCAACATGTACTTATATCAATCATCAGTTGAGTTTCTGACTTGAGGTATTACAATCAGTGAAAGGTACAACCTGGAACTCTCCATGGCACATCTGGACTGCTCTCTTTGCTTCATGAAAAATTACTTATTGCTGTGGCTTGCAACATTTAAATATATCCTTTCTGTTGACGTAATTAGCCTTGCTTATAGTTCATTAGCAAAGAACTCAAGTCACCGCGTTCTGTTCTCAGTTTCAGATCCCTCCTCTTTAACTTACAGACAGTAAACTACCTCAGTTAAACTGTATTCTGCTATTTTACTAGAACATAAATACAGCTGTTTTGTAGTTAAAATGTAGCGATATCTAACAATCTGAATATTACACAATGTACATACACGTCCTCATTTCAATATGTCAGAAAACATGCCTTTCTAGTTCTGTACCTCCTTACCATGTACAGTTTTTTCTCTACCACTTCTTGATTAACAATGTATCACCTGTCTGATTTTTTCCTTTTCTTTTGAGTTTTCACCAGAACATATCTGGAAATTGTTGCACTACAAAAAAAATATGCCGTGTATCAAAAGCCACTGTTAGACAGCCTCCAAAAAGAAATGGGACACTGCTTAAATATATTACAGATGTTCCTTACTGCCCTTACAGCTGAGATGGCACTAACATCTGTTTGGGTGTTTTCTTCCCTTTCAGGAAAAAAAAAAAAACAAAAACAACTTTTAATTCAAACAGATGCTACGAGAAGCTTAAACTAAAGCACATGACTTTGCACTGAACTGGATGAGGAACATTTATATGCTGTTTCAAAAGAATCAGTGAAGTCACAAATTTCTAGCTGAAAGGGTGATGACATTTTCAACCGCTACAACTGTTCATGGACTTTCATCTGACCATGGCTGAGTTACATTTCAAATTTCCATATTTTCACAAACTTATCTATTTTTCCCTGGCAGATCTCAGAATACAACATTGTACAGGTATATGAAGTACATATTCAGTCCTACAGTAGTATGCATTTCTGAGCATGCAATGACAAAGATGGCTATAGAAAAGAGGAAGGATATATCAATGGATTTAAATAAGAAATGAAGTACGAAAAACAATATTTGCATAAATCATTGGTGTAGTAAGTTCTCGTCTGTTAAGATTTCAGCTCCTGGTGACTGTGGTCATCTCAGTCATTGTGTATCTTCAAAAACCACAGTTCCAACAGAATTACTGAGAAGAGTTTGTATTGCTACACCTTTATGACACCTCAGGGGACCGTCTCAAAACAACAAGCATCAGACCTCCAGAAGCAGAAAAGATTTGCACCAAAAGACGTGATCTCCATCTTACAAGCATCTTTGCACACATCGGTGAGTTAAGCTTATCTCACCTTGTTCTGTTAGGAGACCTATGAAACTATAACAGGAAACTACTGAAGGCCATAAGCTGAGAGTCTGGAAAGCCAGGACAAAATACAGTTTAAAAGACTCCTCTCCCATACCATACCCAAAACAGTCAGTTCCTCTTCTGGATAGACCACACGGCTTTTCAATGGCTTCATGACCCCTGATGAGATGGTCTTTCCCAAAAGCAGACAAAATGGGTTGGAAAGCAATAGAATACACCATGGAAGATGTTCTTACACAAGCAGGCATTATTTTGAGGAGATTAACCACCACACCATGAAACACAATCCAGTATTTTTAGGAGATATGACTATCACATAAAAAATTACATTTTACATTATATTACAATTACACTGTGCACATACACTTAACAGTATCTTTATTAGCATTACGAGCTCCTTTCATCAGCTAGCATTACCAGCTGCTGCTGAGGTGCTTATAATAGCACAAACCCAATTGTGATAACACAGATCAATATTCTCAAAGTATAGCTCAAAAAAGCAAACTATGTAATCCAATTCATGAGGAAAATGCAGGCCACACGCAATACCACGGTCAGCAGATTGGTCAGGTTTTTAACCTGCTTGATCTTTTGAAGGTTTTCCCCTTCCAAGAGAGGTAGCATTAAAGGTCTTCTAATTAAAGTAAAAACTCCTTCAGAGCAGACTCTGCCAAGATTTCATTCTTTCTAGGAATCCTGTCTTAGCAAGCCACCCTTACCCCACCTGTACAACAGACACAGAGCCAGTGTGCCTTGCAAAGTCAGTGAAACAGCTGGCCTCGTAACTTTGAGTTCCAGGGCAAAGCAAGATTCTAGACTTAAACTGATAATCAAGTACAGCTAAGTCCATCTGACAGACACTGACAGGCAATAGCCTAAAGCAGACATACATTTTCCATCAAAACTGGGGGTCCAACCCAGACCACATCCTTTGCAACTGTGTGGTATCTCCCCTGCAATCACTCTTACGCTTTTACAGTATACTTCCCTCTTCCATGCAGTTTCCAAGACACAGAACCAAACCTACCAACGCAATCACTCTTACGCTTTTACAGTACACTTCCCTCTTCCATGCGGTTTCCAAGACACAGAACCAAACCTACCAAACACAAGACACAAAACTTTCTTTCTCCCAAAGACCCCGAGGACCTCAGTTTCATTCTGCGTACTGGCAAGAACATCAGACAACTTGTAGTTTCCATGAATAACGCGTCAGCACTTTGTCCCCTTAGGAAGAGCTTTGCTTCTCTTCAAAGGACTCTTCAGGAGAAGGTATTTGCTATGTGATATATCTTATATACAGTCACTGGCAGAAGTTTCTGCTCATAAACTCTGACATCTGTGCCAAGCAAGACAAGCTTTTCCCATAGCTTCATGAACAGCTCTTTCCAGTAAACACACATCCTCCCTAAAGAGCTTGTCAAGAGCAATATTAATCCTTTACAGTAACTCTAGTAACATATATGGGTGCCCCATGCCAACTCCAGTGCTGGTAACCTGTGGCCAAGGGAAGAGCTTTGTAGCTGGAGTGTTCAGTGTCACAGTAGAAAGCCGTTTCCATACCGTAGTAGCATACAGTCTCACAGATATCAGATTCTGCATGCCTAAGCAACCAGAATTAGCAATCTCAACAGCTAGCTGAAGCACTACTTCAGCAACAGCTTCCTGTAGGATGGATTTCTGTCCAAGCTTGGCAAAGCTGTCAGCTTGGCTCAGTGGATGGCTTCCTGCCTCAGCTGATCTGTTAAGACTAAATGATTCTATATATTCCCATAGGTAATGAATGAATACAATTGATGTTCTTCATTTTGCTAGGCAAATAATAAGGAACCTCTGGAATAGGGACCGTATCAACTGTTTCTTTGATCCTACTGTATCCTGCAGATTTAGCATCCTTGAGACCCAGTTTTATTCTTCTCCATTTCAATTGTCAGATGAAAAGCACTGCAAAATACAGCATGAAAACTGGACCCAAGAACCACCCATCTTCTGTTGAAGTATTCTTAAAAAAAAAAATTGTCTTAATCATGGATTATGTGTATCCACCTGAAAGTGCTCATTAGCCTATAAAGAAGATTTTGGTGAGACACAATGTAGAAGAAAAACCACTGAGTTAGGAAACCTAAACATAATGTTGACATTTTAAAGACTCTCTTGACAGTCCTACTGACAACAATTCCCCTGGTTTAGCTCTTCTTTCCTGGAAATAAATCTTCTAGATCATGGCACTAGTCATGACATACAGCACTAACTGTGCTGAATGCCTTAAAGATGAAGTTCACTATGAATCTACAAACATGCAGAACAGCGAATTTGCAAACTAGTATAATCTTCTTCCTCTTGACTCCAAACTATGCTCTGATTAAACTGCAAGCAGAAAGAAGCAGATGTTTCTCCAAATTACGGCTGCCAGATAAATGAATCTCAGCACTCCCAAAAACATGGGGAGGCCATTTGCACAGGGAAACAGTGGAAGTGGAGGAAGCCGGTGAGATAAGTATCCCTATCTGCCTGAAAAGATTGGCCTTGCTTTTGAAAGTGCACTGCTGAAAGAAAAACACCGGCAATGACACTGGGCCAAAACACATGAGAGAAAATAAAATTTGATACCTGCAGATTGTTCTGCTGTTGATCCCTATTCTGACCCCCTCTGTGGCTGAAAACCTAAAATTTACTTAATTCACAGTAATACATGAATCTTCAATTCAATTAATGTGAGAAGTTCACAAGGACAGCTACATTTGTCACAGGGAAAAGGAAAACACAGTGAAGTCTCCTGTAACTGCAGAACACATAAGATTTCACATGTGAATAGCAAAACTTATAACCAATTTTACTATTTATATCAAGGAAGAGCTTTAATATCATAGATGGCATGGTACCTTTAACCTCATTGGTTGTGATAACAGCCTACATATTTTCATATTTTTTTCTAACAGAAAAATCTAGAAATACTCTGTATAATAAAATGTCTACACTAGGTTGCATCTGTAGCCAAGATTTCTGCTAAAACATCCACTGAAATCCTGGGAAGTTGAAACTATCATAAGAGGGCAGAGAAGTTTTGACGAAGTCCTTTAGAAACATTAAACCATGCATCATTACCAAAGCAGGTTTGATTTTATTCAATAAAAGTTAAATTATTTAAAATAATGGACTCACACAGTACTAGAAAGTGACTGGTTTGAAAACAGGACAGTGATAGCTGGTGTTGGATGCAGGCAATGCATTGTATTCATAATCAGTTTCTTTACCTGTTTCCACTGGGGTATGGGAGCAAGACGGCCCTGCTCTCGTCTGCTGGATGGTTGGTTGTGAACACGTTCTTGATAAGGCAGGACAAGTTGCTGCATGCAGGTTAAGTGGATTGGGACCAAGGAGGAAAGATAAAATAGTAAAGGAAACTCAAAGAAAGCCAAAGGAATGGGATACAGAGTAAGACAGACAAACATTTAAGAAACAAAAAAATACAGCAGGGGAGAATTCATTTAGCAAGTAAAATATAAAAAAGGGAAAAAACATCCAAAAATGGGGAACTACATATGTTTTTGGACCTTCCCTTTATTTTCATTGTTCCTTCAAATCATTACAGTTATTCCAGCCAATATGTAGTGTCTGAGGAAACATTTGATTGGTAAAGAGTAGGACAAACATCAGCATTTTAAGATGACGTTACTATGTTTTTTGACCTTCCCTTTATTTTAATTTCCTTCAAATCATTACAGTTATTCCAGCCAATATGTAGTGTCTGAGGAAACATTTGATTGGTAAAGAGTAGGACAAACATCAGCATTTTAAGATGACGTTACACCAATTTAAAACTTTTCTCTTTAGAGTAAGCCTCACTCTTCCCTAGGAGAGCCTTTGAAGCAGAAGAGCACCACTAGCATCCTATCTCAAGGAATGCATGTTATTATTCATTATTTTCCTCCGTAATTCCCAAATAAAGGGGTTTATTATCCATCTCCTACCTGTCTTCGTAAGCTTGAGGATTGCACTGGTGCATTCTCCTCAAACTTGGCCAGTAGCTGGGTTGCCATAGACTTGACTTTGTTCTGATTCCCAATGGCAGCATCAATTCTTCTCTCTGTCAGGGCACTCACCAGTGTGGGCCTTTCTTCTCTGTAGCTTCGTGGGATGTCCTCCTAACAATTAGCAATATCAAAATTTAACAAGATGCAACCGGACAACCTTGTCCTCTTGACCCCTTTGCTGCGACAGGTTTCTAACACCGTAGAAAACAAATCTATTAGTCTGCAGTTGAAAGCTCACATTTTACTTCCTTTGGCATATCATCAAAAGTTCTGTTAAACTTTACTTATCTTTTCAACCTCCACTGATACACTTACCTACCAAAGAGACTACAGTTGAAACACACTCACAAATCCACTTATACGAAGCAAAGACCTATCTTCAAACCTTCACTAAAACTCAAAGTACCAAGTTTTAACTTACTTGTACCTATTTGGCTATGAACATTTGAAGTGAAGCACTGCCTCATATGGCATACTAGAAACGTATGCTTTTTGCACTACCAAGGCTAAAGTTTAAATATGAATGAAAATTATGACTATACTGCATGACTTTACTAAATGAAAGTTTTATTTTTGGTGTCCTCATCAAATCAAAGTAAATTGCAGTAAAAATAGAATATGAGGGAGATGTAAGATTTCATTTGTTGTGTATTATTCTTTCATAAGCATCAGTAAAATATTTGCACTATAGCTACGGCAAAGCATAACCTCTGAAGAATAACTGATTTTTCTCTTTAAAAAAATAATTCTTATATAAACCCTGTCTGGATATAGAAAATGAAAGGACTGAAGTGGAAACAAGGAACCTACCATATGTTTTCCTCCCTGATACCTTCCTCACTGTAATACTTACATCCTCAGATTGACTGGTTTTTCTCCTCTTTCCTGCACCATCCAGTTCCTTTTCTTTTTTGTCCTGAAAATGGAAGGAGGAGGAAAAAACCCAAAGATAAGGATTCTCATACTTTTCTGACCTGAGATAAATGTTATCAGTGCACTCAAATAAGCTTTGCAACACAACTGATTAATTCTCTGGGCTCATTCTCCATTTGTTTAAGGGGATTCTTACATTCAAATTGGACATTATTCAACACTTTCAACTAATAGGGAACTGAGCAACCCATTATGTTCTAATACAAAATATATCCTCAAATAACTACCAAAGGCTAGAATTTTAAGACTGAAATACATCACTAATTGAGAGTACATATTACAGATGTAATTCTGCAGTTATAAATGTCACGTGTTGTCCCACGCCAAGAGCTGATGAACACATGGTCTTTTGTAAGTGCGTAGTAGATACACACACACACTTTTAGTACCACCTACTTAGACAGCAGCCTAAGAGACGCAAGTGTTATCACAACTGTGGTATGGTTACCTTCGGAGTGCGTTTCCGAGAGATGCTTTGTCCCAGTTTACTGAGAAAAGAGATAGGCGATTTGGTACTGGCAATTAGGGCAGCTTTTTCTTCTGCATTCAGGTCCAGACTATCTGTAAGCAAAAACAGGTAGGACAAGGGAATGCCAAGAAGTTATTTCTGTGGTGCTATTGTTAAATACACAACTGAAGGACTCACCGATTTCTTTTTAACATAACACTCCTTTTCTTAAGTTCTCCATACAAAATTATTGTACTGTGCAGAATGAATACCTTTCTCAGCTGCTCTGCTTTTTCAGTTTGCCAGAATCAATTCTTCTTTCAGGGTTTATAACCACCCAGAATAAATACTGGTTTTGTTTACCCTATTTACTTGCAAATTGAAAGAGCATCACGATCATCAGTATTCTTAAGAAGAGTTCAGAGTTTTGGAAATAATACCTGGTAGACATTATATTTTTAAAAGGTTGTTAAACACACTTCTTTTTCCCACCAGAACAATAGACTTGAATAAAGATAATCAGTAATAACCACCTGTAACAACACTATTAATATTTAAAGTTCAACTCTATTGATTTGTGTTAGGCAATTACGTCTTTCAGTTCTAATCAAAGATCTTCCATTGTTCCTTGCCTTGGCTTTACATTGGATTATGTCTCCAAATACAGCTCTAGCATCTATTTTTATTCATGAAGTTACTCTCACCATTCACAGGTGGTAAATACATACAAAACTTGGCCAGTGTTTTGAAATTATCTACGAAACAACTACTAGCAAGGCACCTCACATTAGCCAAGATTAATGAACCCCTAATAGAAGCAAGAAAGCAGAAAAGTTATCTACTAGTGCTGAAGTGAGTTTAGAACTTTTGAGGACATTATTTTGAGAATGTTATTTTGTATTAACTCACTTTTTGCTGCTGATGCTGCTAACATGGTCTTTATCAGCACCACTTTTGTAATGTAAAGTTAGTGAGTGACTATTATGAGTTTATGAAGCATGAAGATAACTGAAGCACACACGTTCATTCTGAAGCTGTCTTTAAATCTGAAAGACCTGCCCCAAACTCCTTACCGCTAGAGGGGATGGTGTCTTTGAACATCTCATAGAACTGTGTGAGGTACATCACCATCGACAGTTTATCTGGCTCTCCGACAGATGCCATTTCCTTTCCAGTCATAATGGGAGATATTCCAAACTCTTTTTCAGCAATGTCAAAGGCCATCTGGTTATTCTTCTCCACATTGTGCTCGTCCAAAGAATCAAAGTCTCTGAAAAGGGCAGAAAGACAGCATGCACTGAATGAAGTAGAAACTAGTCTTCTGAAAAATCTCAGGGATACATCTCCTTTTTTTTTTTCCATAAATCTCTAAAATTTATTTGCCAACAGACTTTTTGTATTGCAGAGTTGATGCTACTTAATGGTGAACTTTGGCTCAGATGTTTGGGGTTTTTTTCATTTTTTGCTCCTTCTCCAAACCTAGATTTTTCTTATTAAAAGCTTTATTATCCTCCAAAAATATCTTCACTTCCTCATTTGCTGGAAGACTGTATTGTTTTCCTCTACGTAAAATCTTTTGTGTGCTTGGAACTAAATTAAGTCTTCACCTTTGTCCCCTTTTTCCTTGACTGATCCATATTTTAGTTCTGCTGGCTTTTTCCAAAACTTGTACAACTATACAAATACTATACAAATAAAAAGCCATAGTTTTCAGAGATTATATAAAACATTTTAAAAGCTATTTGAAATCTCCACAAGCTCTATAGCTATTAAACAGAGTTAATTTAACTCGAGTACACCAATAGAGAAGTAATTCAGTGTACATGGAAGGCAATAACCAAGTAGTTTTTCAGCATGCTTTACATTGGATTATGTCTCTAAATACAGCTCTAGCATCTATTTTTATTCATGTCTCTTTGGGAAGTTGAAGCCATTTCAGATTTCAATTAAAGTTGCAGAGTCTTTGCTCCTGTTACTTCTTCCAGTCAATGTTTTCCCATTCTAGAATCTGGGCACTGTTTTACCCAATGCATCATGTAAGAGGACACCTCTCATTCAACCAGTCAGCATGGTAGTGCATAAACAGTAGCAATGACTCTAGACTGTGGGTGACTACTTCTAAAAAGAGCAGTCTAAAAGTCTTTTGAAAGAGTTACTGTTAAACAGGAGACAGTGTCTGTGTGGAGACTGGTTCGTGACAAATTTAACCGGAACTAACTTCACAGAGAAAAGAGCTGTCAGTCAATAATGCTTTCCAGTCAGTACCAATCTGAAGCTTAATTCTGTCAAATAATCCAGAAGGGAAAATGACAACACATTTATCTTCATATTCATCAAGCTATTAGGACCTTCCACTCTGCTGGTAAATCACCATACATTAGCTTCTATCAAGTTTAATTTAACTCATTTCAATCCATTTCTCCATAAGTCACAAATGCATTGCCTCACTCTCCATACTATTATTTACGAGTATCACTAATGTTCTGCTCTTCCCAGTTATTCAAAACAGTCAGTTACTCACATTAAGTCTGGACGGTATCTGTGGATAATTGCACACAAAGCTAGGCCACTTTTCCATGACATTGTGAGATCTGTCACATTTACACCAGCATATCCATCCGTCTGCCTCTGGCACCAATTGAGCAATTTACTAGAGCGAGCTACAGACTCTGTAAGAAATCATATTTTTAAGTAGAAATGTACAAAATCTCTTTAATGAATTCTAAGACCAACTGAAAAACCATGCATAAACAAGCAAAACCTTCATGTAAACAACAAACTCCTTCCACAATGAGCAATACAGGACAGTTTGTTTTTTTTAAATACTGTCTTATCTATTTTAGATCCAAGAAAGGATTTTTAATTTGCTAAAAGTAATTATCTAAGTTATAACTTGCCAGGCTTTTCACCCTAGACCTTGTAAAAGAGCCCCAGGAATTAAAAAACAAGTCACAAAGGCTTGTATTAAATATGATCAAAAGGATATACAGTAGCACTAATGCCCTCTAAAGCCTAGATATACTATTTCTAATGGAAGAACTACAAATGTACTACTGCAACTTTTTCTTTTCTCTTGAAAGCTTTCCTTTAAAAGCACTGACTGTTTTGACCTTGCCTTACTGCAAGATCTGACAGATTACAGCCTAAAGGGATGTGGTTGCAGGCCAAAGAACAAATCAAAAGACTGCATAGCCATTCAGCAGTGAAAGGGAGGCTTAGCAGCAAAGTGCCATTCTGAGAGTCCCCAAACACTATCTGGACATCCAAAGGCAAGGTGTGCAAAAGGAAAAGTTCAACATACCCCTCAGGGTACAGGACTAATAGACAGCTATCAAAATGCTTATTACAAGGCATCTATCTCTCAGAATAACACAAGCAAAGAGAAGTTTCATTTAGTTAAACTGAGATTAAGTAAAGGAAAGCATGAACATGAAAGACTGCACAAGAAATACCTTCTGTTATGTTTGTAAGCATTCTGAGTTTACTGTTAAGAGTAAATTCAGGCGAGGCTTCTGCACTTTAAGTAAGGACATTATTATTGAATAAAGGAGGTGAAAAAGTTGCTTGCATAAGCAAATATGCTAATAAATATAACAGCATTATAAAACAAAGGAAATTAGGGAAACAAAAATACATTTACATGTTAATTGAAATGTGAAAATTTTGAAAAATCAGACTATTGATCAAACAATTGCCAGATACTTTTTCTAAACCAGAAGAGACTGGTTAAGTAATACTTTAGAGCCTTCAAGCTCTATGTCCTGCATTGATCCAGCTCCAGAATACTGAAAGGAATGCAGCAGTAGCCAGGCCTACCATTCCGGGTCAGCTTTGGTGTCCTAGAGTTCACAAAGTTCTCTATTTCCAGGTGAATATCTTTCAAGTCTCCTGTATTATACAAGTGGCGTACCTAAAATGACACAAAAAAAAAATTAAAAATTACCCACATGCCATGCACCCAAAATCCATACAGAAAGAGCAAGACAGGAAGAGCCATCCCAATGCACCAAAAGGAAGGTAAGTACAGCTATGCAGCAGAAATCTCTAGCCCAAGAACCCCAGAATAACAAAGAACAGCTAGTCAGTGCTAACAGTCTAGCTGACCACTGATGCTCAGTGGAAACCACACTGCAACGACAGACTGCTATACTAGATTATTACAAAGAAAATGCGTGTGCGCCTGCACACACACACACGCACACACTGAGATTTCATGTATCATTACAGCAAGGTTAAAACTGTCAAAATCAAAAATTCCTAAACAGGATTTTGTTAAAAGGTCTACTCTTGACTGGTATATCTGCTTTTTGCTGCTTCCAGGCTATACTGCCACATCAAGTCACTTTCTGTTCCCAAAACATTAGCATATCTTCACATAAGGAAAAACAACACAGACTGCAAGCATTCAGAAGCACCATTTGTCCAGTTACCTGCTGTGGCCGCAAAAAGTTGACGTTGATATTGGGATACCGGGTGGCAGGATCAATGCTGTAATGGCTGAAGTTTTTACTCACATTCTCAGGGGTGGTCTGAGGCAGTAGCCTATAAATGCTTTCCCTTGGGAAAATAAAATTTAAAAAACAAGCTTTGGGTTTTGTTTTGGTTGGTTTAGGTTTTGTAGGTGTTTGTTTGTTTGTTTTAAAAAGATGCATCACTACTCATACTGCTAAGTCAAACCTAGAGTCATTGATTCGGATCAGAAATCTAACCACTTCAGACACTAAACAGCTAAGTTTCAATACAAGTGTATTAAAATCTGAAATGTAATACAACTCCAGAAATCAAAAGGAGGGAAGAAAACAATACATTAAGCATAACTGAAAGAGTTCCCCAGTACAAGAAAGACAATGAGACACTGGAGCGACTCCGGAAGAGTCCAAGAGTACCAAGGGTACCGGAGCACTTGCCCTGTGAGGAGAAGCCAAGGAAACCAGGTTTGTTTAGCATGCAGAAGTGAAGGCTCAGGGAAGATCTTACTCCTGCCTGCAAATGTCTAATGGAAGGGTGAGGAAAGTCTGGCTCCAACTGCAACATTATTATCTTTGCCATTTTTTAAAATTAAAACAAATAGAACTTTAAATATCCATTGTGCCATTTATACAATTTTTAAATTGATACTAGAGTTCCTGATGGTCAGAAGCTGCAGTTGCCTAAGTTTAAAATAAGTTCTATTAGACCTTGCTTTTACTTACTCCATCTTTTAATTACCCAAATTCTGATCTCTAAGATATCACTTTGAGTCATCACAACAACACTCAGCCAAAGACGATAGAACCATAAAAAACTCAATATTCCAAAGAAACATGAGATGTTGTTTGGCTTGAAACAAAGTGACCAATTTAGGAGAAAATTAAATAAAAGCAGGTCTTAGCTTCCTTAAAAGAAATTCTTAAGATATTTACAAGATAATAGGGGATGGCAAGAATTTTTGTCTCTGACACTTCAAAGGCACCTAGATCTTCATCTGCTTTGCTATTGCAGTGCTAGTGTCAGTAAGCCAGGCTCACTTTCTCCATGTAATATCAGTAAACACCAAAAAGAGACTCTTAATCTAATCTGCTTTTGAAACTAAAGACCAAGAACGGCTGCAACATTTCTTATTCCTCTATAAATATACTTCAGTTTGTCAGCTCCTTAGGAAAGTTTTTCTTCAATTGAATTATACCCACAAGCATCCTCTAAAATCAGTGAGAATTTTTATCTCTCATTCTGTCTATGTATTTGTTCTAGAAGAAACTAGAATGAATGATGAGACGTTTTCTCTATTACCTCTCTGCAAGAACTTCCAAAGGACTAGCTCCGAGAGACCAACTTCGTACCATCCAAGCAGAGTCCATTGCAGCCAAAAATCCCCTGGCTATTCCAGTTCCCATTGGCCAAAATGGCTAATATTATAGTTTACAAAAAAAAAGCAGAGACAGGAAAAGCATCAGTTAGTGAAAATTTTAAACAAATATCAAGAATATATTCAGAAGGTAATCTGCTGGGAAATTAGCTTAAAGCTCCACTCCCACTGGGCTAGAGGAAGCCAGATGTATGGTGAATTGCCCATGAGCTCCCAGAAATCAATGTTTCTCTATTTCCAACAACAACTCATAGCCTGGAGTGCCTGAACAGCTTCTCTTCAAGATGGTACTTTTTAACCAACTACAAAATCGTAGTTATTAACAGGCCTCCAGCAGGTTCTGTAGAGAGTCTAACTGTCCCAACAAGAAGCAGATGGAGCAGACATAACTTCAGAAGGAAAACTCCACACACATTTTCTTAAGCAAGATCATTACCATCCTAAATATTCTGTTTTCCCAACACTCCTACCCTTTCTTCAAACCTCCCACTTTATTATATAATAAACAGCATCTTTCCTTACAATAACTCTTATAGGCAGCACATACTTTAGTGATAGATGCAATGGCTTGTGCTTATGCTTCAATGCACTGTTTACACATGAGAAGTTTAAAACACAAACCTCTAAGAGACTGTCCCCAACCAGTGCCACAAGTAACTGGTGGCCATTCTGCTCTCGCACCAGGGCTGCGTTCTCTGATGCATACATGCACGTGAAGTCAAACATGGCCACATCTGGCTGCCCATAGTGATTGATGGCAAAATCCAGCGATGGCAGCTGCTGATTAGTGGAGAAGTCAGCTGCTTCTCTGGCATAATTTAGCAGAGCCTCCTGGTCCACATTCTCCCGTGAGAGTAATAATTCTGTGTCAGCATAATCCTGCCAAAAAGAGAAAATTAAAACTGAAATAGCCAAGTCCACAAGCTTATTTTAAGACTGGAATATACAATAGCTGGCACTAAAATGCCTACAAATCCACTGATACAGGTTTTCCCTCCAATTTTTTTCATTCCTATCTGTGTTTATGCTTCCAAGAGAAAATTTGTAAATATTTTATTGCAAATGGCGATCAGTCCTACTAGCATTTCTGACTGTGAACGTGCTAAGAAACCTCTGAGCACTTCTCTTCACACACTTCAGACAAAAGGCACAAGACCCCAATGCTTATTTATTCAGTTGTGGACAAGCTATTTTTAATCAGCTTCTCTCAGAATTAGGTATATTTCCAATACATTTTTCCCTCTCTGCTGTTTCATTCTCATAAAACAAGGGAAGCTCAACTAAGCTATCAAAGGTTCTTTAAGTAGATTTTATCTTAACATGGAAGAAACAAATCTAAAAAGATTACGTGAGAGAGCAACTACAACATTTTGAGTACTGTCCAGGGGTGGG